ACCTTCTTGGAAGGGAATTTCCCTCCGGGTACTACTTATTTTTGATCTTCCAGGGATAAGATGAAGATTATCTCGAAGCCTCGTCTCATCGTAAAAGGGAAACATTAAATCCTTTCCCATTAAAAGCAGAATGTAATATCCCATATTTGTGTTAAGCTTTTGTGTAGTTTTACTTTATTTCATCCGTTGCAGCAGAACAAGTTACATGTGAGCTGTCATGAAAACTGTAGGTTAAACCAGACTAACTTGACTTTTAACTGAGTAACAACTTTATCTATAGAAACAGACTTGAACAAACCTGCAAGACAAGTCCAGCAAAAGACTTTCAAATACATACCATAATGCATAACACAGCCAGTTATACATTGGTATTATCTCGCCCTTCTCATTTTAAAAACAATGTCATCTTTAGGTTGTAAATGAGTATAGTTGTTATATACTTGTCTTGGTACTTCTCCGCAGTGGTGGTGAATATGGGCTGCGTCGTTTGTAGACATTAGCAGACATCCAGACATTTTTCTTGTGCCTATAAGTCTAATAATATACGCGTTTAATAGAGATGTGAAGATTTCTCATCTACTTATTTGAAGTCACGCAAGAGTGAGGAAGACATCTTCGAGTTTAGTTCCTCGAACTGGTTGCACACACACGACATGTGCCGCGGTTATTTTAAAGGCAACGTACACACACACACAAAAGGCTCATGAACATGCAATGTAGAGTAGAGATGAGTATGCGAAATTACATGGTTTTCTCGGGATCGCTAATAGTACAGCATAGAATGGCGCGCCTTGGCCTGTCTTGCTCAATCGCACCATCGCGGCCAAGATGTTGGGGATGTGGTACATCAAGCTGGCAATTCTTTTCGGTACCCACGCCTAACGATCTGTTTCCACACTCCATTGGAAATACCTAACAGGAGAGTTCATAGTTGCTGGCATTGACGGTTTCTTACAAGACATATATAAGTTACACATAGTGCTATTGCAGACACTCGTTAACAATATAACCACCTTTTAAGTCCCACACACACACGGGGACACACGGATGAAACACATTGAATGCACTATGGAACAACCCAGCACTCTTATGAGATTCTGTTCCTTACTTTGTATGATCATATGTAAGGTTCTGAAGCATTTTCTGAATTATTTAGATGTATTAATCTCTTTTTATTTCCAATGTGTAAACAGACTGTAACCTAAAAAATGAGACCATCCCCAACTTTTCTCAATTGCGAACGGACGGATTTATGTGCTTTTGTAGTACAGATGTGATTGATTTTTCCTTTAAAACGCACACTATCGAGTGCCTTCTGTCTCAACAGTGTGCAACACTTGCTAATTTTAGCTTAGAAATGGAGTCTGCTAATGTCTACAAACGACCAGCACCCACCACGAGTCCAGTTAACATTACTGCAAAGCTGAATATATATATATATATATATATATATAGTGGTTTATATATTATTATTATTATTATTATTATTATTATTATTATTATATTTTTCATTCACGTTACTCCATTTATTGAATGTAATACACATCTGGTTATACTGAAACCCTTGTGGACCATTGTACACTTACAGAAGTTTTAAAGTTGGTAACTAAACGTCCTGCAGCTGTGAGAGAAGTCTTCTCTGTAAGATAACCTTTCTTCACCAAATCTGCCACAGTGCCCTTCAAAGAATAACAAAAACAAGAATAAACAGAATAAACAGACACTTCAGTTGCATTTAAGAATCTCAGTAAACAATAGGATGAAATAAGAAAGTTCCTTTGGGATTACCTTGGGAATCTGCATGCAGATGTCAGCTAGAAACTCAGCTGTGATCTCTGCTAGAGCCTCAAGCTCTTCATCTTTTGTGTCTACTTTGCTGGTACCTTCCTGTTTGCTCTCACTGTGGTACTGAAGAACCCGCAAAATGGTTCCAATCAGGGGAAGACCTAAAGGCAAAAGACAAACGTATTTATAGAACACATAACACAATAAATTATTAGGAAGAACTAGGCATACTAGAATTAAAATGGGGACTATCCCGATTATTATTGTCTGAGTCTATATTGTCATTATATTTGTCATTTTCCAGTATAATGCAACTGCTCAAAAAACACAAAACATGTTAAACTCTCTTTATAACCAACATTAACAAAACCCTGAAGTTTTAACACAGTTTTCTACCAACAGCAGCACTGAGGTGTTGTGCTGCTGATGAAATGATCATTGTTTATAATCTAAGTGTCGCTCACTGCTTTCATCGCTGCTGTGTGAATATCATTAGATGAAAAACATGGCTGCTGTTCATTTGCTTTAGAACCTCTAAAGTTCAGTCACTTGAAACACTGTGCAAGTCAGCAGGTTCAGAGTTGAACCTTTTTTATTCCAGAGATGATGTACGTGTGCATTTGAGAGCCGGTGTACTCAAGAGATCAAAAGGAGTTACTATATAGCAGATATCATACAGTTATCACTAAATCAACATTCAGTGTAATAAATCCATTAAAAGAAGGCAGATCTCAGGGCCGATGTCATTCAGTGATCTCAACTGAATCAAACCGAAGAACAATAAACAAAAACAAAACTTACCGATGTCACTTCTGCTGCACCACTGCTCTTGACATCCATAAAGAGCCTGCAGCACAGCAAATGCCTGAACCAAAATGCTCTTCTGCTCTAGCAGGACAACTGGAAGATCATTTGGCTGGCAGAGGTCCTCGCACACAACGTCACTAACAAAGTCCCACACTGCTTTGCCTGGTCCATCAGAGGCAGCTTGAAGAAACAATTAAATAACGTCACCTCCTTCTGTTAGATTTCACTGAGTCAACAACTATGTTTACTTCAGAAACGATGTGCCGACTGCTGAACTCAATCATGTGTTGATTGCTCTTACCAAAAGTCTGCATGCCTTCATCTATGGTGGTGAGGAGTTGGAGGGCGTGAAGGTAAACCTCTAAGCCACTTGGACACTCTGATCTGTGAAAGCAATTTAATACTGTTGAATTCAGATACTTGAATACTGTGCTGTAGCAGACCAACAATAAATAACAGACCTGCTATATAAAACGTCAATAGTATCAATGAATATAGCAGTGCATTGCATCAACTAATTATAGATAAGAAAATTAGGGATGTCCTGATCCGATCCCAAAGATTAGTATCAGGGCTGATCAAGGCATGTTTTAACTGATCGGTATTGGCTATTGAGCTAAATTAAGCCTCATCCGATTTTTTACAGCTGTCACACATGTTTCTGTTTAACTTTTACGCACATTGCAGCCGTCATCAACTCTCTCCGAGCCCCCTGCTCGGAGGTGAAGCATACATCAGTGGAGAGCCGACACAATTACACACTGCGCCACTGCAAGTGCAACAAATCCCCGCGGACAAAAAGCCAATAAGAGTAAATTATTAATGTAATCTGCACAAAAGATGTACAGCCAAGGAAAATAAAAACTCAAAAGAATACAGTTAATTCAGGTAACTCAGGCAAAGGCTGCACCGAAGCAGCAAACACCGGAGGACACTTTTAAAAGGGCAGAGAAACCCTTGAGACAGTGACGAGAGCAAAAAGATTACAAAGACGGTTTGTTAGATTACTTTACAGCCAACTTTGTTATTTTGTACAAAATAAAAAAAAAACATTATTAATGCAATGCAGAGCTATTGGTATCAGCAGATACTCAATATTAATTGAGTCAATGTTATTAACTCAGATCAGAGAGTTTGTGCCTTAAATCATAAAATGGCAATATCAAGTTAAGACAACAAATGCACACAATCTATTCCTGCAAAATGCATCAGAGATTTTCAGTACATAAACTTTCATATTAGGCAGCTGGCTTTCAAATTTGCAAATTACCAGCAGTACAATCTCTAATATCTGTAGAAACGGATTAAAAAGATTTTTAAACTCCAACTCAAGATGCTTTCTATCGAAACGCTACAAACTCTAAAACACAGAATGTCAATTTCAGATTCCCACCTAAGCTGCTTGGCAGCCTCAAGCAGACATGAGGCCACATCCAGACGGCTTTCACCATCATCCTCCTCCTCACTCGGCTGAGCTGTGATCCAACTCTTCATCAGCTCTTCGTCAAGGTCAAACAGTTTGTCGACCAGTTCTCCGACCTTCTCAAGCAGGTCAGCTGTAAAACACACTTACTTTAATAACCATTTTAGAAAGCAGACAGAAGGTTACACAAGTAGTTAAAGGTGCCCTGTGGAGTTTTTTTGTAAACAAATAAAAGTTATGTTTAAACTCACCAAAAAGACACCGTGTGTATCTTTGAGGTTTAACAAACGTATCAAATACATTTCCATCCTCAAAAAAGTATTTTCAAAGCCGAAAGCCAATAATCCAGCATTGTTTACGTTACCATGTTTACTTGCCAGCAGTCTTCTTCCTCCCTGTGCTTGTTGGTGCATTAAAGCATACATTGGCGTGTTACCACCACCTGTTAATCAGTGGAATGGTATGAAGCTATTGGCAGGGCTGTGTATCATGTAACACGTGTGTGCATGTGTGTCCTCGTGTGTCCTCGCGTGCATGCACACGATAAACAAAACAAGGACCCACACATACAAAAACAGCTCCCTAGCACGGCTAGAGGTCACAAACTCCACAGGGAACCTTTAAGACACACAGCTTAAAGGGAGTTTAATGTTAGTCACCGCGCTATGTCAGACAGACATTTTGTAACACTTCATCATCTTATTACAGGGGAAGCAGTGAATAAAGGTACAGTACTGTTGGTAGAACTGCACATGATGAAACAGAGGTTGGTGCGCACAGACGTCAGCTGTCCTATTCGCTGAAGCCACAGGGAACAGACATCTTTCTGAGAGACACAGGTCATCAGCAATCTGCAAACATCATCAGAAATAATGAATACTTCTCTCTCAGTCTTTCTGCCTCACACGTCTACAGAAAAATGCAGTTGTCACCTGCTTGTTTCCAGAAGGGTCGGAGGATCTGTATCTCCAAGAAGAAGCAACAGCACAGCACTGTGGACACACAGGGAGTTGCATTAATAAGAGTGAATCACAATAGTGTACAGAATCTACTAAAGGACAATTACCGATGAGGATTTTTGCCTACCCCAAGTCTTCATTTTGACTGAGAGTCAGACAAGTGTCAGGAAAACAAGCAATGTTCCCAAGGATTCCCACACAAATTTCCTAGAGAAGCAAAATACAAATCTCAAAGCCAAAGAAATACAGCATCACAAATTTAATACATTACATAAGATAACTTTGACACAGAATGCATGAACTAGAAAGGATTTCACTCACTGTGAGGCGTGGACAACGAGATTTGGCTATCACCCCAAGAAGGATATCTGTAGCTTTGAATTCCTGCAGGAAACCAGCCACGTCCTGCACATAGTTGGTGTTAATTAATCCCTGGGATTATTGAAGTATTTCTGATTCTGAATCTGATAAAGATTAGTTATTAGTAAATATATAAACCTTTTCTTCACTGCAGCATACACTCAGTTGCCAGTTTCCAACTTGATGATCATTGTGAACTGTACTGCGTTTTAATGACAATATTTCTATTATTTTGTCCACTCCTTTTATATCAATGAGGGTAGACTAAATAACAGGAACACCTGTCAGCATAATGCAATAACCACCAAATAACAACAGTTTCAACAAAAACTGAGCATTATAACCTTCATGAAGGTAGGATTTATTACAGGACTGTTGTGTTACACTTACATTTAGCTAAACTGACAGCTGATGTTTAATTCATTGGTAATGTTATATGCATGGTAGAGACAAAGACATCAGCAGCATATTTCAGAACTCACAGAATGATAATCAATGTTGTAAAGGTTTAACACTAACTAAACTACAAAATAAGAAATTATCTACAGAATAAACAATTTGTTTTTATTATTCAACATTTTATTTAACATCATCCAATCCAAAATAAAACACGTTTTGATCAATTTCTTCTTTTTTATGAGGTTGCAGTTACCTTCAACATTCAGTGGAAATGACATTGTTCATGAAAAGGTCTAGTAAGAAATCTACCTTATCCATTGCCATATCCCAGACTCTACATAGATCTTCCTCATCTTCCTCAGGGAGCTGCATCTGACCTTCAGAGTCCACCTCTGAATGCTCTGTGACCATCTGCAAGACATGATCATTTTACAAACATTAAGAAATATTAGCTATATTGGACAGTGTGCAGCAGAGAGCATCAGGACAAAGGGACAATGTGTCACACAAAATGACTTGAAAAAGGCTATAGCTAAATAATTCAATAAAATAAATGCAACTCAAACTGTGTTGTCACTGTTACTACATCTGTATTTAAAACTGTTACTGTAGTGATGTTGGATGGATCAGTTAGCGACACTGGCAACTATGTGTAATTTGCACACTCCATTGGCTTTTACAAACAAGTTCAAGTTATACTTTGTGACTATTTTCCATCATACCCGTGAACTACTACAGGATATCTCTTTTTTAATTTTCTAATGAAAATTTACATGAATGAGACGAGTCAGGGTGCTGAAAAGCCAGTGCTTGCTGTAAACAGTGTCTCCAATGGCGTCCAAATCACCGTCCTCCTCTCCATCGGCTGTGTCTGGGGGTGGTGACGGGTTACGGTCCATTACAGGAGACTGTACTCCAGCTGGAGATGAGGATCTCTCAGTATCCACTTCCTCTGCACCATCAATTCTACAGTCTAAGAGGAAACAGTTATGGAATAAAAGATTTTTAAAAAACACCATAGAGTTGGGTGATATGACACTCTGACAAATTATAACAAGTTATATTGTTTCGACTATTAGTATAAGTATTAGACCGTCAAAGTACTGGATGTACAGGATTTGGGCATCAATGTGATGACATACCTTGATTAAACAAGTATTTAATTCACTGGACATAACTAACAGACATTTTATCTGGTCCTTTGATCTTTGACGGTTTAAATTATTCCCAGAAAACGTACTACTCCCAAACCTGCACACATTGTATACTAGCTGTCTACAAAAGAAGGAACATCAGTAAGGACCCAACCAGGTCACAGTCTGATGTCCCAAACAGACAGACTGTAGCCTCCATGACCCCCATACACTGACTGATGCACTGTAATAATACAACCAATAATTCAACCCCCAAACTGCTGCTAATGTACTCCAACACTTTCTTACACACTGAACATCTCGTGTCTCTGCTGTGTACTGTTTAACTGTTTGAATTGTTGTGCAATATATTTTAGTACTACACTAGTAGACCCTTTACACTGTCACTGTTAACCTGTTAATCCAAGTGCCTTTAATACTTTAAATATACAGATAAAGGGAACTACCTCTTCATAAATATATGTATTATCTTGTTTTTATTGCTGCTGCTGGTCACCCTGAGTTACATATCCCGTTGTATGCCTGCACTGATAAATAAAGTGTCTTATGTCTGTCACAGTTTAGACCCAGTTCCCACTTTATTATGTTATGTGCACCTACAGAACATGAAGGCTATAACACTAAGAGGTGATTGCAACTGGTTTATTATAGCGGTGCTGATTCAACTTCACAGTTTGTGGTTCTTAGCATTCATTGTGGCTCCCAGTGACTTTAAACAGACTTTACACTTTGCTTTCAGCTGACTGTCGATGGAGTAACTAACGCTGTGGGCTCAAACAATCTAACAACAATCTAGCTAGCAGATACAAATGTGGTTATTAACGGCGGGTTGCTGCTATTTAACTGTCACACAAAAAAAACAATACTTCTAACATGTCGACTCACCCATAGTGACCGGTCTTTACAAACGTAACTAGCTGGTAAATAATAAATAAAACACCAGACGACATTTCAAACAGCCTCCATTTAGAACAAACCACCCGGATGCGCATGCGCGAACGATGTACACACGGCGCCTTCTTCTTCGTGTGGTCGAACACCTCAAGTGCGCACGCATACCGCCGCCTGCAGTGTGCGGAGGGAACTGCAGGCTGTTCAGGTGTACCGTGTTATAAATGATGGACCTGTTAGTTCACCTTGGTGACTCCTCTAATCAACATCCTTCTTCTAACACACACCTGGACAGTTATTTGATTCATAATACAGGACCGTGTTTGTGATTGTGAAATGAGTGGAAACAAAGGGTTATAATATATTATTTGCTCTCTAAACTAATCTATCTTGAGCTAATCTGGATTTATACCTAATTAGCAAATGCTAATAATGATAGACTTTAATACTAGTTAACGTTAGCTATTAGCCTATATTTTCCCCAGAACAATCTTTAACATTATACAAATATATAAGGTTCACTTTTGCCCTCAGAAGCAGATAAAAGCTTATAAAATAATATTTAAAAAATCCTAAATTGCTGTGTATGCTGTTTTGTTTTTTGTTTAGTGTGATTTTCACTTTAAAAATTATAAATAGTTCATTCATATGTACTGGTAAATGCACTGACTTAGATAACATTTGTATTATTTGTCTTATATGGTCATGTAATAATTACTAGTACAGTAAACTTATTAAACAATGTAAAACAATTTTAATAATTTTGAAAAAGCAAAACAAGATATTTAATGATGATGAGACCTACTTTAGCATTAGCATCATATGCTAATGGATGCATAACTCATAAGGCAGTAGCTCATTGTTTCTGTGTGTTGTCACAGCAGGTAACACATGTAATATTGTCTTTAACAGAAAGGCTTCCTCTGGTTGAGTTGTACAGTGGCTCAGTATTTGTGAATCAACTTTAGCTTAGAGCTACATTTTGGGTTGTTTTATTTCAGGTTTCTATAATCTACATTTAACTTATTGTCCCTATAATAATCATAATAATAGAAAAACTATTTTGTTTATTCTGAACCTATAACCTATAATTTGAATGTGTTACAGACAAGTTGAATGAAAAATAAAAGCTAAAGTCTCCTTAGAAATGTTCTTCCTCTTCTCCCATTCTCCTCTTTACTTATCACACTTTTTAAATAAGTGAAGCCAGCCTTCTGTGGTCAAATAACTAAACCTAATGATGACATTCAAACATTTTAAAGTATTTCAGTTCATTAAATATGAGATAAAAACACCATAAAGCCTGTTTAAAATTTAAATAAAATATACCCCAAAATTAAAATGAATATAAGAAAAATACTGTAGCAAATTCATGTATTTGACCACTTTTTGTTTACATTTCTTTTGTTCCTCTTTGTTAAATCTTGTGTTATATTCGGACATGCTGCCTTGTTAAGTTGTCGTTTCAGTCTGTGTTATGGGATATTACAGCAAGGATGTTAAACAGTATTAAGTCAACAGGGATTACAAAATCTTGAATAGTCCACCCTTTAACCAGAACTGTCTTAAGGCAATTTGGCGAGTCACCGTCCTCCCTGAATCAACACAGTACAGAAATAATAATACATCTTCCTCATCGTGCAGCTGTTCCCTGTGGGCGTGGTCCTCTGCCCTGTTTGCACTTGGAGGAGTTTTCTTTGAGTAACTATTTGAGAACATGCAAAATAACTTATGTTTTTTATAATATAACCACAGATAAAACAAATGCGTAAACAGGTTTTACAGTATGAGGCTGAACCTGCGTGATACTTATGTGAAAGGTCAATCCACCAGCTGGAGCAATTAATAACCTCCTCAGCTGTAAAATAAATGCTCTTCACAGCTCCTCTGTACTCGGTTAAAGAATCTGTTGACCAATGAAAAGTGGGTATTACTTTGGTGTTTAATTAACTGCTACCTGAACTTGGAGTAATACTGTGACCTTTATGTTTTTTCGATCTCTAAAAGTGTACTTAACCTTTAAATGGGGTTTAAACAAATGTCGACTCCCCACAAGATAAGCCTATTGTCATCACATCTGAGAGTTTGCTGTCTGATATGATGCCAAGTCCTGTGTGTATTAATGTGACACTGCAGGTAGAGGATGACTGCAATCAGGATGTAATACAATCAGTTCAGTTGCACATCCTGTGCTATTCACGATACAGACGCAATTTAGATAATGCATACTCTCCAACCATATTAAAACAAATATTAACTTTAAGTTGTATCATTTCCACTTTGAATATAGGTTTCGTTATTGGTTGAGAGTGGGTGCCACTAGCCGACTCCAATTCTAAGCTAACATTAGCGAGTGTAGCATGCTGTTGGTGCTGTAGGGGAGCAGAAGAAAAGGCAAGACACACAGGTGTGCGCATAAATGTCACAGAAAAAATGTCCTTTACATATAAATTCGTCCACAGGCTGCTATTGGCCATAGGGAGCTACGTCACAATCAATTCACACATGGCAATACAAAGCGATTAATACATGTTATTTCCTTCACATTCTTACATAGTAAGTAAGTAAAATGTATTTACATAAGTCACAAAGTGTTTTACAGAGGCAATGTACAACTAAAGGGAGTATGACCTTTAAGGACAGTAGAGACCTCGTGAGTATGACCCTAACTCACAAGATCTCTACTTTCCTTTAGTTTTATTTTGGTGATCCCAGTGCCTTGGTGCTTTTAATTTATGCTCATTAAAATAAAAAATATTATTGTAATTATTTTATTTTCACAATTTTCCAATATTATCAATTATTATCTTTATAATAAAAAAATATGTATAAAAATTATTTTTTATTTTATTTAGCATCATTGCTGAGTCAGCTGAGATATGCATCTATGCAGTCATGAATATCTAAGCTGACGTTGGGTATGATGGTGTTGGACAATAATCAAATAAAAAGTTTTTATTACTTCCTGATTAATCAGACAGAGAGGCGGATGAGAGGGAAGCTGAAAGCCATCAGAGACAACCTTTTTTTTTCATCTTTTCAGAAGGCTTTTATTGCCTTTAATCTATAGTAACAGCTGAAGAGTGACAGGAAACAGGGGAGAGAGGCACGCATGGCACGCAGCAAAGGGCCACAAGTCAGAGTTGAACCCTGGGCAGCTGCAGCAAGGACTCAGCCTTTGTACAAGGGGCGCCAGCTCTACAAGGTGAGCTACCAGGGCACCCCAACCCCTCTCATACTCTCTATACTGAAACAGCTCAGGAGCGGGTTCAGCCACAGACTCATTTGTGCCATTAGACTCCACAACATTAGACACTCAGTACCTCGTACCTCAGTTAAACTGTCAACCACACTAACCTATTTTGCCCATGTACATACATAATACTTTTGGATCTTGTACAAAGGTCTATTCTCCTTTCCTGTATATAGTGTATATATTTAATTTAATGGTATTTTAATAATAATAACATAATCAATAAATACTATCCACTTCATGGCTAAATACAGTGGATCAATAAAGGAACATCTTATTTTTTATTTATCTTAATCATAACATAACAGAATTCTCATATCAAGATACCATGGCTAAGAAGCTCTCATTGTTCAATTAAAAAGTAGAATTGTACTGAAATTGGCCCCAGTATGACATCTTCAAGACCTGCTCACTCTGTGACACTGATTTATTTTTTCGTCCAGGAGTAGTTTTAAACAGAGGAGCACGCTGTCAGCAAACCTCTTTTATTGCTGCTCATTCCTCCAGGAATAAAAATTCTTAATCGAAATGCAAACATATTTGTTCAATAAAGAGATAAGGAAGATGTGGGAATACTTGTATTGGACTTGTGAAAGGCGTCAGACATCCATTAAACATATGTTTGGCATCTTGGCAATAAAACTTAAGTTCCCTCAGGAAGAGGGTGGGAGCAAAAACTCTCAATATAAAGGGCTGCCAAGTGCAATCTGACCATTACCTACTCTGGTGACAGAAAGCCCACAGAGACAACGATGGGGTGGAGATGTGTGTCGTTGTGTTTTCTTGCTCTGTCTCTCGCAATTGTCATCGATGTTGAAGGCAGACGAGGTAAGACTGTTTCACTGTGGAACTCTTTCCAGGATTGTGTGAATTGATTATTCTGCTTTATGTATACATACATCAACAATGTCTAGTACTGTCTCTGATATCACTTATGTAGAGCATTTAGTAACTCAAACTGGTTTCTACGCTTTATGTCTCTCCCAGTTCACAACCATGTCGGCAGCATCTGCAGCACATGGGGCAGAGAGCACTTCAAGACATTCGACGGGGATGTGTATCAGTTCCCTGGTTTGTGCGAATACAATCTGGCCTCCGACTGCCACGAGACCTACCAGGAGTTTTCAGTGCACATGAAGAGGAAGGAGAGCGATGGGGACCCTACAGTCAGTTATGTGGTGGTCACCATCAACGACCTTTCATTCCACCTCACCACGGGCCTGATCACTGTGAACGGCCTTCCGTGAGTAACAAGCCATACAGCCCGCAAAGGCAAAACAACTGAATTTCTCTTTTCTATTCGTGCATTATAATAAAACTTTTTTCTACAGAATCAAAATGCCATACTACAACGCAGGCGTACAAGTGGAAAAAAATGCAGTTTACATCAAGCTCCAATCCAAAGTCGGCATCACCGTCATGTGGAACGGTGACGATGCAGTCATGGTAAAAGCTTATAAATATTTTATTTATTTTATTGCTTTTAATAGTACACTATAATATAATATAATATTATAATGTGAAAAAGGTTGTGATAACCTCTTGCTGTGTTGTAGGTGGAACTGGATCCTGATTATGCTAATCGTACTTGTGGACTTTGTGGAGACTTTAATGGTGTTCCTGTCTACAATGAGTTAATTCATAACGGTATATATGATTATTCACTTTATGTATTAATGCATTTCAACAATCATACACTGTATCTGTGACATTTGTGACACTATAATTACATTAAAATTGCAGGTCGCAAAATGAGCCCCATTGAGTTTGGCAACGCACACAAAGTCCATCGTCCAAACGATGATTGTGAAGACCCCTTTGAAGAGGAAGGTGAATCACTGGAGGATGTGCTGGTTTCCTGCAAGGAGTTTGTGAGTTCATTATACATACAGTATCAGTAATAGTGGTATTTAACATATATATTTGCATTTGCAGCAGAGTAACTTTGTCTCTATTATCTGCCTTTTTTTCACTTTTAGCAAACCACCTGTGACCAGATGCTGCGTTCGGCATCCTGGAGCTCCTGCACCCAACTGATTGACCCTAAACCTTACATCCAGGCCTGTGTGCAGGACATGTGTGGCTGCACCAACAGTACAAGTGACTTCTGTGTCTGCAGCACACTGTCGGAGTTCTCTCGACAATGTTCCCATGCGGGAGGACAGCCTCCCAACTGGAGGACACCTCAGTTCTGTGGTAATGTTTTGTGTTTTGTTATCATCTGTATTTTATACTGAAATCAGCCCAGTGAAAAATTAATGGTCCTGTAAAAGTACTGGCTACCTTTTCTGAACATTAACTTAACTTAACATTTCTCATTTAGCTCTAGGATGAGAGGATTACCTTTATTCTAAAAACATTGCTATATTAAAAAATAGCATATTATTTTAGAGTTTCTGGCACTCACAAAGAGCTGAAAAATAAGTTCTGGGTAATTCATGTGATTTAAAATGTAGCAAAATACAGTTAAATTACATAAGTGCAAGTAAAATAAGTACACAAAACATTCTATTTTGCTGAACTTGTTGCTCTTGAATATTAAACATTTACACCTACCTCCATTTATTTCAATTGTACCATATCTTCACAGCTAAACAGTGCCCATTCAACATGATTTATGAAGAGAGCGGTTCCCCTTGCATGGATACATGCACAAATCAAGATACAAGTTCACTGTGTGAGGATCACAAAATGGACGGCTGCTTCTGTCCTCCTGGTTAGTGCTGTTTACATGTACATACTATAATTTTAGTCTCCTGTTGTACTTTATATTGACCTTAAAGATGCTTCCAGATTTAATCTCCCTAGTTTGTAAATGTTCGTGTCACATATCTCCTTCAGGAACTGTGTTTGATGATATTTCAATGAGAGGGTGTATTGCTCAATCTGAATGTCAGTGCAAACACAACAAAATCTATAACTCCGGTGAGGTTTACCGACAAGACAGAGAGGAATGGTATGTCTAACATCTCATAATGTCATCATAATATTTCATTTGGTCTCATATTTGGTTAACTAAAAGGATTCGGGTTTTTTCAGTACATGTTTTGAAGGCAGATGGGCTTGTAAGAGCCTTCAGACACCTGCCACATGTGCAGTAGAAGAGGGTTCACATGTGACGACCTTTGATGGGAAAACCTACACCTTCCACGGAGAATGTTACTACACCCTAGCCAAAGTGCAAAGGAAGGTGAGTGAGTCACAGCTTTGTACAGTTAAATATAAATATATATAATTTGTTATGTGTTTTTTATCTAATTGCACTTGCACTCACAATATGTATATTTCAGGATGATGCAAGTCCAAAGTTTACCATCCTGGTTCAGTTGGTTCCATGTGTAAACCAGAAGTTTGACACTTGTCTAAAGAGCCTTAAAATCGTGCTGAACAATGACAGAAACAATGTGAGTTAAGAAGACTATAGTCATCAATCAATTCACACTGATCCCTGCCAGACTCTAATGATGAATTCTGTTTTCATTCAGGTGTTAATGTTCACTTCTGATGGCACAGTAAAGCAGAATATGCAGACCATCACTTTGCCATACCACTCAGGTGGGTTAAACTATAAGGAACTCTGAATTAAATATATAATCTTTCATTTATAGATTGACGTCAGCAGATGACCTGACTGTTTTTGTATTTCTCTTTATTTAAAGGTGACATCAACATCTTCCATGCATCATCCTTTCACGTCATGCTCCAGACCAGTTTTGGTTTGCAGATTCAGATCCAGCATGTGCCTATCATGCAAGTTTATGTCAGTTTGGATCAGAGCTACAGAGCAAAGACACGTGGTAAGTTTTACATTTGTCTTAACATGAAGCATTGGCATCATCAAAGAATACAGTGAATTTACAATAAATTATTAGTTGCTGTAGGAATTACCTACTACAGTGTGATGAGGATGACAGCAGTAATGTTGATATATTAGTGTATCGGTATTATGAAACAATATTTGCCATACACAGCTGTCACAAATACACATTTCTGTGAAAAAATGATCAAAGCTTATGTGAAACCAGCTGTTTGTGATCATACTGTCAATGAACCGCTCACAATTCTTGTTGGCCAAGTAGTGCTGGACATGTGGACACACATGTATTTAGTTATACTCTTTATTTAAAGGTCAATTGTGTAATATTTAAGATGATATATTGGCAGAAATGGAATATAATATAAAAAGTTGTGTCATTAATGTATAATCACCCAAAAATAAGAATTGTTGTGTTTTTGAGAATGAGCCGGCCCTATCTTACCACACTGCAGTTTACCAATTCTTAGTGTATAATATATGTTTTCTTATTTAATCTTAATTCAAATACATTAACCAAATTCCTAATCCCATGATTTACCATATCCATTTTGTAATTTGTTTTACAGTATTTTACACCTTCCATTTTTCTCTTTGTGGTTTCAGACAATTGTTGGTTGTCTGTGCTTAAGTATTGAAAAATAATTTTAATATAAACATTTATTTATAAAATATTTGTTTTTTTCAGGTTTATGTGGGAACTACAACATGATCTTGTCTGATGACATGAAGACTCCTCAGGGGATTGTGGAGGGAACATCAGCAACTTTCTGTAATTCGTGGAAAGCAAATCTCATGTGCAGAGACAGAGAGGAAAGACTTGATGACCCCTGTTCCCTCAGTTTGGAAAATGGTAAACAGCAGTGGTTGATTATTACACCGTTTTTTTTGTCTTAAAATGATTCTCTTCTTTAAACTTACTTGTTTGTTGAATGTATGATACATATAATTAGACAGCTCAATAGAATTTGTAGAGATTAAAAATAAAAATGTTGATTCTCCCCTCTCAGAGTGGTACGCCAAACACTGGTGTGCCTTACTGGTCAATCCAGACAGCATCTTTGCTCAATGCCATTCAGTGGTGGATCCTGAGATGTACCACAAGGTACAGCAAAACCTTCTGGTTTGTCTTTAACTGAATTAGTTTGTGATGGGACTGTAATTCTCTAAAAGTGTTTGCTGTCTTCTGCAGCGATGTACTTATGCCAGCTGTAACTGTGACAAGAGTGAGGCCTGCCTGTGTGCCGTCTTCTCCTCCTACGCACGTGCTTGTGCATCAAAGGGAGTGTTTTTGACAGGCTGGAGAGAAAATGTGTGCGGTAAGGATTTCTTCTTCTTTTCTCTCATTGGTTAAGTTGAGTAACGATTTCTGTAGTTTTATGATCATCTTCCCTTTCATTGTTTGAATATTAAGTAACCATTGTAACATTATGCACAAAACAGATAAATACACAAAGAGCTGCCCAGCAACTCAGGTCTTCTCATACAAGCATCAGAGATGCCAGTTGACTTGCAGATCACTGGGCTCAAAGCAGCAGAGCTGCACTTCTGATTTCTTGCCTGTGGATGGCTGCTCCTGCTCTGAGGGTCTCTACCTAAATGAAAACGGCATCTGCGTCCCTGTGGAAAAATGTTCCTGCTACCATAACGAAGTCTACATTAAACCCGGAAAGTCTATCAGCATCAAAGACGAGCACTGGTGAGTCAGTTGTTTCTAATTTGGAGACAATGGACTTCAAATTAATTATCTTAGACTAAGGACTTAGTATGATTTTAATGCCTGCAGTGTATAAGATTTACATAAACCACGTTGATGGTGTTGCATCTTATATCTTTGGTCTGTTTTTCTAGCGTGTGCACTAATGGAATACTTCATTGCCGTTCTTGGAGAACCCGTTCATCATGTACGTTTTTTTGTTTTATGTTTTTTTCTTTAAGCATTTGGTTGATACAATGAATATTAAATTAGTTTCTACTTCCGTTACAGTATGCCCTTCTCCACAAGTATACTTCAACTGCTCCACTGCGACCACAGGAGAACTTGGACTGCAGTGTGCTCGAACTTGTTTAAATCTGGACAACGATGATTGTGTGAGCGTTTATTGCCACTGTGTCTCAAATAACTGGATCTAATATTTATTTCCTGCAGTATGTTACATTGAACATGCAACACACAGTGTATAGTTACACTTGTTTCTACAGTAGTTTCTAAAGAGTTTTGAAAAGTAATTTTTGACAGTATCAGTAATGTTTTGTCCTTTTCTGTGACCGTTATATTACTATCTCTCCAGGACTCCACAGAGTGTGAATCTGGCTGTCAGTGTCCAAGTGGCCTCCTTTTTGATGGCAAAGGTGCCTGTGTGAAAGAAAATGAATGTCCATGTCAGCATGATGGGCATATTTATGCCCCTGGAACACAAATCCCTAACCAATGCAACACCTGGTACGACCTTGTTTTTAATCAGACCTATTATATAGCATAATGAACACATATTATCATATTTGGCTGCATGTTTTACTCACTTACTTTAATTGCAGAATTCAAGTGTTTTGTTTTTTTAACCGTTTCTGATACATCTAGTACCTGCAAAAGTGGAAACTGGGAGTGCACAGAGAAAAAATGTCCAGGAACTTGCATTATTTACGGGAGTGGTCACTACAATACATTTGATAAGAAAACATATGGGTTTCAAGGAAAGTGTGGCTATGTTGCTGTCAAGGTAAACATACACATCAAAATCATCCAAATGTATCTAAACTTATTCTCACTTCAAACTCAAACTGACAGCTTTTGAGCAACTGTAATCTTTACATCTATATATGCAGTGTTGGATTGTCAGTAGAAAGTAGTGAGGATGCTATGACACAATCATTTGTACTATATACTGGATACATTTACACATTCAGAATTCAGACACTCAAATAAAATGGCAGACAGTAAATATACTGTAGTGCACTATATAGTAAACAGGCAGTGATTTCTGACAGAGTCAACAGTTATGCTTCACTTTTACGTCGTCTCAGGATTCATCTCAGAAGTTCATAGCCAAAAAATTTGAAAATTCAAACTTATTGCTAATCTTGAACATCAGACTTGAGAAAGAATATTGAAAGAATCAATATTTGATGCTGCTAACTACATTATATGATCTCTCTGGGGATCAGTTACTTGAGTTAATTTATGTATTACTGAGCTTTTCTTTAAGACTCTTAAAGTATTATGGATTGTCTCTGTTTACTATGAATAAAACTTGCAAAATCTCTCTCTTTTAAGAACAAATGTGGCAATAAAACAGTTCAGGACAACTTCGGAGTCATCACAGAAAATGTACCGTGTGGAACTACAGGCACGACGTGCTCCAAAATTGTCCGAATCCAACTAGGGGTAAGACCTCATACCAACATCTGATGTGTATTTTGTGCCTAAAATTCTTTGTTATACATCAAACTGCAGGGTTTTTTTTACATCACAATGAAAGCAACAGAAATCTCCTTAACATTACAGAGAATGGAAATCAAACTAGCGAAGGGTAAATATGAAGAGCTGGATCTGGGACATGGCACACAGATTCAGTACAAAATAAGGCATGTCGGCTTGTATCTGGTGATAGAATCTGCCATTGGTCTGGCAGTGATGTGGGATCGCAAAACAACTGTTCGCATCCTCCTGGAACCACAGCACAGCGTGAGTGACAGTATTTGGTTTATTCACCTGTATTCATCTTGATGTACAGTATATTAACATTACTGAAAAAGTCTGTGAGCCACTTATATTCATGATTACAATGGAATATTCTGTTTATAAACATACAAAGATATATACTTTAGAAATGTGTATTCCTTACAATGCCAAAGAGAACTGATATTAAATATTGTTCTTTTGTTCTGGCTGTTCAGGGAGAGGTATGTGGCCTGTGTGGAGATTTTGATGGCGATGCACAGGATGACTTTACCACCCAGGGTCAGCTGATAGTTAGCAATGTGTTAGAATTTGCAAACAGCTGGAAAATGTCGAGCACCTGCCCAGATGCAGAAATGAACGTTGACCCATGTGGAGCAACGCCCAACAGACACCACTGGGCAAAAATGATGTGCAGCATTATAACTGGAAACACATTCAAAGAGTGCCACAATAAGGTAATGGCAGATTTGTCTCTAATTTGTTGTTATTCAAAGTCGTTCATGGTTGAAAAACACATTTTAAAAATATATATATTATTAACAGGTAAATCCCCTTCCATATTATGAAAACTGTGTGAAAGACTCATGTGCCTGCGACGCCGGAGGAGACTGTGAGTGTTTCTGCTCAGCAGTTGCAGCTTATGCTCAAGCTTGTAATGAGGCTGGTTCCTGCGTTGCATGGAGAACTCCGGAAATCTGTCGTAAGTAAACAGCAATTTCCCCTTCATATTAAACTGGGTTCTTTCTTCAGCCTTTTCTGACCAAAATCCTGTTTTTAGATCCCATAAATCTTATGATACCAGCATTTAAAGGTTAATGTGTGGGATGTATATATGAGAATAATTAATTTTCTCTTTTCTTTACTTAGATATAATATTCTACCCTACTTATTTATTTGTTTATTTGCTTGTTTGTTTATTTATTTCATTGAGTGGACATCCAATGTAATTAATGCTGATATATGTTACAGAGACTCTATGGGTGAAAAGTGTTATTTTAAGACTGCAATGCTTTACATAATTCCTTTAGTTCAGTATTTCCTAAATCAACTATAATTTAGTATTACAAGGTATTGAATTGATTTTTTAATTGTCTTGAAGGTTGTTACTCAAAAGTACCTAACCCTTATCTTAATCATTATAATATGAATTAATATATGATAGTATTCTGCCATTTGTAATGAGCGATAACTTCCCATATTTAGCTAAAACTCAATGTAATCTTGAGCCCTGATATAATGTTAGAATGTAGAAGATGAAATTTAAGTTTGAGATTGAGATTAATCCACTTATTTGTATTAATATTTCCTATATTTTATTCGTAACATACCTTTCATCTTTTCCTCCTAGCTATCTTCTGTGATTACTACAACAACCCAGATGAATGCAACTGGCACTACAGCCCTTGTCACACACCTTGTTATAAGACCTGTTTAAATCCAGACGGAATTTGTAGCAACCCTATACCCAACCTGGAAGGTAAGAGGTTAACTCACAATGTCTCACCTTACCTCTGATAAATGTGCTGGTTAAAATATTAAATGTTGAACGAATTCAATTTGTTTACTATATGTGACAAAAAAAAATGTAAAGACCACCTGGTCAGTTTGAGTGTCAGAGATTGAAATACAATGTAAATAATTATTTTATGGTAATATAACAATCTTTTATGCTGTGGTTTTTACAGGCTGTTACCCTCGATGCCCGATAAATAAGCCAATATTTGATGAGGAGACCCAGATGTGTGTGGAGGAATGTGATGGTTGCTTTTATAATGAAACAAGATATGAGGAAAATGAAGTTATTTACAATGTGACTGACAACTTGGGAATGTGCTACCATGCAATCTGCATTAATACAACAGTGATACATGGAAATCAACCCTGTTCTACAACAACGCCCCCACCACCTGAACCTACTACTACAACTGAAGCACCAACCACAACCACAGAATCTACAACACCACCACCACCTGAACCTACTACTACAACTAAAGCACCAACCACAACCACAGAATCTACAACACCACCACCTGAACCTACTACT